CCCTGGTGTAGTTGGGTGCCTGGGAGAAGCGCACTCTCCGAAAGTATACTAATTTACTTTCTTGAAAAAAACACCAGGTTAATGCGTGTTTACCAGTGAGTATTTTTGCGCCAATCATTGTACTCTTAAATTATTGACATTGCCCTTGGACTCCAGGGAGGACTATTATGAAAAATTACATTAGCCAACACGAAGAGGTGCGCAAGAATTTTGGGAAGCCAATAGCTTAAGTCCGCCCTTTTTGGTTCCTCCTGCTCCAATAACATTTGAGCGAAGCCTAAACATGCTATGCTGCTAGGCTCTATGTTTATAAACTATAAAAGTATTATATAGTAATCAAAATTTTATATATGATATATGTAACAAATATTATCATATACTAATCGTTTACGCACAAACTTCCTACTAAACTGGCTTAGCTTAGTCTAACCATTAATTGTTAGCCATTTATTTGGCTAGTTAGCTAGCCTTTTTGCTTCAGACCAAAAACAAATAGCCTAACTAAGCAATGCCCTATCCTGCATTCAACTGTTAGCTAGCTAGCATAGACAATTATTATCAGTACTATATACATTATTAAACACAGACACGCACAGCGGCCACTTTTGGGCCCGTTTGCCTGGGATACGTCCAGCGTCGACGGCGGTTTCCCCTGGAACCATTGAGCCTGGTGTTTTTTTTTTTTTTTTAATAAAAAAAAAGCAACTATAGCGGTTTACTTCTCACCATTTGAATTAAGTCCATTTTTATATTCAAAGTAATTTTTTTCTATTTAAATACAAATTATCAGTTTTATTGTCATTTCAGAGCGCCACAGTATTAGTCAGCATTTAATAGCTTTTTACATACATGAAACGAAGTTCTTGTCTCCTACATTTGAACCATAAACTATTGATACATCCAGAGCAAGTTGAAGTGAGTCAGCCGTAGGCGCAGGGGGAAAGCAAAGTTAGGGTTAGTTGCCCTTTTTGGGCTTTAAGGATCGACAGTGGCACAGGGAGCGTGGGGACTGGCACCCTGTCCAGACTGCCAGGTCCACAGGTCCCATACTGCCTGGTCCGTGGTGGTCCCATCAATTCTACTCCACATTTAACTTAGACCCTTTGGATTTGAATGTCTGTACACAAGCCAGCCCTTTTAAAATGAAATATTAGGGTAAAACACAGGGATTTTGTTTAACTATGCAAAAAATTCCTAAATGAAGGTAAAGTTTGAGCAGCAGAGGCCCCTTATCCAGTGAGCCAACTTGCACACACAGCAGCCACCCCTGACCTTTTGGTATGAATCTCCGAATGGAATGGAGTATCAAATTGGTAACACCTGGTCGTTCCTATTATTTCATGTATATTGGCTGGCCTGCTGCTGTGAAAAAAGTCTATTTGCACACCAATGGATCCAGTAGTTTTTGAGATATTGCAGTCTGTACCAAAGCAGTGGACAGATCCACACCATTGTGTGTTGTAGGAAATGTCCTAGCCCCCCTACCCCACCAGAAACCTGCTATCCACAGTCAAGATTAAGCCATGAGCCCAATATAATGGCCCTGATCCATTTAACAGGAGCTATTGAGGCTTTGGAAATGTCCCATCACCTTGGAAACGCTCCTCTTACCACTTCTAGGACTGCCGGTGGTTAACAGTAAGGTATGGACAGAATGTTTACCTGCTGAAGGAATGATTTAGGGCTCCACTTTATGAACCGAACAAGGCTGTGTCAGGCATCATAAACGTCACATTAAATCTATACATACACTATTACAGAGTGCTTGAGACATGGCCCCGGGTTTCAGCGGGGAGAAAAGTGGACATACCAAATGGCTCCTTCAACATACATTATACCACATGACCACTGGCTGCTTCCAAGTAAATTATTGATCCAGATACAACACCAGGCAGCTCAGGCATAATGTGGTTTCAGCTCTGAATCTTCAGACCATGGCAGGCACTCAGTGTGTCAATACACACACACACACACCAGCCTCCATCTACTGTAGTTTGAGAGAGCGAATCACTCTGTTCTGGCTATGACTACTGAGAAATATGGGTCAGGCTGCCGGGAAGGGAACAGCACAAATCTTTCACATTATTTGGTCAACACGCTGTGTGTGCACAATGCTAATTACCATGGTGAGACCTTGCTCCTAAGACTCTGTTACATAACTGATTTTGCTCTCTCTCTCTGTCTCTCTCTCTCTTCTCTCTCTCTGATACACAACTATTCTCTCCTCAAATCTCCATCATGTATCTCAGTCTCGTCTCACAGACACACACAACCCATTTCAGATTTTTATGAGAGCTCATGTTTATTTTACATTAACGGTGGCTGCCCTCTAGTGGATGGGTACATGTACTACCGAAACATGAGTAATAGGGTCCTGCACATTCAATAAGGC